GCCCTTCCGATCCCTTCGCGCGCCCCCCCCCCCCCTGTGCAACCATGCTAACTTAATTAATTCAGTTCAATTTCTGCTCACTTGTGTCTAGTGGTTTACATTGTATGTACCAAATGATGTTCAAGCTTGTCATTATGCACTTTAAAACTTGCTAAATTTTTGTTACATCTCAGTGGCGGCACAGCTTGGTGGAGATTGTCCTGTCGTACAGCAGTTTTTCCTTGGAAGATCTGACAGAAGCCATGACATGTTTGATACAGGAGGAGAACCTCGTCCTGGAGAGGATAGAGTTAGAGAACTTGGCTGTGGAGTTACCTCTCATTAAGTAAGGCCAATTCCTGAACAAGGAATTTCTTTACCTCACTTTAATTAAGGCCAATTTTTAAAAAGAATTTTCTACCTGTTCAGTAAGGCCACTTTAAAGCAAGAAATTTCACTACCTCATTAAGTAAGGCCACTTGTTAACAAAAGTTTTCTTTACTTCTCATTTAGTGAGGCCACTTGTTAACAAAAGTTTTCTTTACCTCTCATTTAGTAAGGCTACTTGTTAACAAAAGTTTTCTTTACCTCTCATTTAGTGAGGCCACTTGTTAACAAAAGTTTTCTTTACTTCTCATTTAGTGAGGCCACTTGTTAACAAAAGTTTTCTTTACCTCTCATTTAGTGAGGCCACTTGTTAACAAAAGTTTTCTTTACCTCTCATTTAGTGAGGCCACTTGTTAACAAAAGTTTTCTTTACCTCTCATTTAGTGAGGCCACTTGTTAACAAAAGTTTTCTTTACCTCTCATTTAGTGAGGCCACTTGTTAACAAAAGTTTTCTTTACCTCTCATTTAGTGAGGCCACTTGTTAACAAAAGTTTTCTTTACCTCTCATTTAGTGAGGCCACTTGTTAACAAAAGTTTTCTTTACCTCTCATTTAGTGAGGCCACTTGTTAACAAAAGTTTTCTTTACCTCTCATTTAGTGAGGCCACTTGTTAACAAAAGTTTTCTTTACCTCTCATTTAGTGAGGCCACTTGTTAACAAAAGTTTTCTTTACCTCTCATTTAGTGAGGCCACTTGTTAACAAAAGTTTTCTTTACCTCTCATTTAGTGAGGCCACTTGTTAACAAAAGTTTTCTTTACCTCTCATTTAGTGAGGCCACTTGTTAACAAAAGTTTTCTTTACCTCTCATTTAGTGAGGCCACTTGTTAACAAAAGTTTTCTTTACCTCTCATTTAGTGAGGCCACTTGTTAACAAAAGTTTTCTTTACCTCTCATTTAGTGAGGCCACTTGTTAACAAAAGTTTTCTTTACCTCTCATTTAGTGAGGCCACTTGTTAACAAAAGTTTTCTTTACCTCTCATTTAGTGAGGCCACTTGTTAACAAAAGTTTTCTTTACCTCTCATTTAGTGAGGCCACTTGTTAACAAAAGTTTTCTTTACCTCTCATTTAGTGAGGCCACTTGTTAACAAAAGTTTTCTTTACCTCTCATTTAGTGAGGCCACTTGTTAACAAAAGTTTTCTTTACCTCTCATTTAGTGAGGCCACTTGTTAACAAAAGTTTTCTTTACCTCTCATTTAGTGAGGCCACTTGTTAACAAAAATTTTCTTTACTTCTCATTTAGTGAGGCCACTTGTTAACAAAAGTTTTCTTTTCCTCTCATTTAGTAAGGCCACTTGTTAACAAAAGTTTTCTTTACCTCTCATTTAGTGAGGCCACTTGTTAACAAAAATTTTCTTTACTTCTCATTTAGTAAGGCCACTTTTCAACAAGAATTTATTTACCGATTATTTAGTAAGGCCAATATTTAAAATGAATTTCTTTAGAAGTGAAAAGGAAATAGGATGTTTCATTGTTATGTTTTTTTTTATTAAGTTTCTTTTTGGTTTCCTCCAACTAAGATATTTTTATTTTTACCTTTGGTATAATTCATCTTTAATTAAAAAAAATATAAACACCTAGGAAAAAGTATGTTTATTATGACAAATGTAATGTAATTATAATTAAATAAATAAAATAATTTATCATTTTAATATAAATGATTATTTTTTTTGTTGATAACTGTTCAGAATTTTACTAATGATTTAACAATATCACAGTATTTATTATGCTTCCATTTTCTTGATAGCCCTGCAGCTCCTATGACAAATGTAATGTAATTATAATTAAATAAATAAAATAATATATCATTTTAATGTAAATGATTTTTGTTGTTGTTGATAACTGTTCAGAATTTTACTAATGATTTAACAATATCACAGTATTTATGTTTGCTTCCATTTTCTTGATAGCACTGCAGCTCCTAGACCTCGCACACTGTTATTTCTAATGGTTTACCAAGGCCTCACATGCTATTATCTCTTATGGTTTACCGAAACCTCACATTCTATTATCTCTAATGTTTTACCAAGACCTATTTCCCAAGTATCTCTAATGTTTTATCAAGACCTCATTTCCTAGTATCTCTAAAATCTTTATTATATCCATTCACAGAACCATCAGCTGGAACTGTCCAAACTTACGGACCATCAACCTACAGAAATGCCTTTCATTGCCCAAAAAACTCAGACGCTTCTTTGACAGGCGGAAAATCTGTACCTTTCGCAATATTATTTCATATACATGTAAGCACATGCCCCTTGATTAATGACACGTTTGCTTAGAAGTTTGAATGAGGTTGAGACAAGAGCTATGTGTCTTTCATGTGTTGTGAGAAGTTCGGCATTTCTAATTTTGAACTCAGGAACTAATGAGACTTGTATCTTTGATTAATCAATGATTGATTCCTGCATGGCTGTTTAATGGGTGATTTGATCAATGAATGATTTCTGTATGGCTGTTTAATGGGTGATTTGATCAATGAATGATTTCTGTATGGCTGTTTAATGAGTGATTTGATCAATGAATGATTCCTGCATGGCTGTTTAATGAGTGATTTGATCAATGAATGATTCCTGCATGGCTGTTTAATGAGTGATTTGATCAATGAATGATTTCTGTATGGCTGTTTAATGGGTGATTTGATCAATGAATGATTCCTGCATGGCTGTTTAATGAGTGATTTGATCAATGAATGATTTCTGTATGGCTGTTTAATGAGTGATTTGATCAATGAATGATTTCTGTATGGCTGTTTAATGAGTGATTTGATCAATGAATGATTTCTGTATGGCTGTTTAATGGGTGATTTGATCAATGAATGATTCCTGCATGGCTGTTTAATGAGTGATTTGATCAATGAATGATTCCTGCATGGCTGTTTAATGAGTGATTTGATCAATGAATGATTTCTGTATGGCTGTTTAATGGGTGATTTGATCAATGAATGATTCCTGTATGGCTGTTTAATGGGTGATTTGATCAATGAATGATTTCTGTATGGCTGTTTAATGAGTGATTTGATCAATGAATGATTTCTGTATGGCTGTTTAATGGGTGATTTGATCAATGAATGATTCCTGCATGGCTGTTTAATGGGTGATTTGATCAATGAATGATTTCTGTATGGCTGTTTAATGGGTGATTTGATCAATGAATGATTTATGTATGGCTGTTTAATGGGTGATTTGATCAATGAATGATTTCTGTATGGCTGTTTAATGGGTGATTTGATCAATGAATGATTCCTGTATGGCTGTTTAATGGGTGATTTGATCAATGAATGATTTCTGTATGGCTGTTTAATGAGTGATTTGATCAATGAATGATTTCTGTATGGCTGTTTAATGGGTGATTTGATCAATGAATGATTCCTGCATGGCTGTTTAATGGGTGATTTGATCAATGAATGATTTCTGTATGGCTGTTTAATGGGTGATTTGATCAATGAATGATTTATGTAT